CTCCAGATATGAGCCAATTACCGAATAGTGTTCCGGTATGGATTGCACCGACATCTCTTTTCGGAGTTTAGACATCTCTCTTTGTCCTTTCAATTTCAATTCTTAAATTCATCAATCAATCCTTTTATTTATGTGATAGACCTGCATTAAAAATAGACATTTACCATAAATTATAGGTATCTTATATTATTAGATACATTCTTATAAAACATGTTTTAGTTAAGGAGTTATTGATACTTCAAGTGCAAAATGATGATATAAAACCTTGATAAAAATGCACTTTTAAGTACTAATCACTGAGTCAACCTCTTAGGGTAGGCGTTGTGGCCACTGTGGTGTCAATTAGCCAAAAAGAACCATAACGGGGTGTAATCAAATATCAGGTAATTATTTTAGTGTAAGTTTTGTCATGTTTGGTGGAGAAATGAAGTGTTAAATGCTCATAACAAGTAGCCCTCTCAACAAGTTTTTTGGTGAAAATTAAAGAAGATGAATGGTAACCAGAATGATGTCATTTTGGTAAAGTTTAATTTAGTCCATCAATTTATAATTTCTCTCACTTACATCATTGATTGTCTCCAAACTTTTGATTTTATACAATTTTGCCATTGATAAACTTCAATTTTAGCCTTAAATCCTTGCGCCTTTTTCAATATGGTTATTGGTTTTGAATTTATGCAAATTGACTATTAAACTTTTATTTTTCTTCAGTTCACCTTTGATTTCATTGAATTTTGTCCCTATAGTTCGGGGCCTTTTACATAAAGGTCCTTGGCTATGTTTTTCTTCAATTTAGCCCTCAATTGACCCCATGCGATTTTACTCCTGATTTAAACCAATTGAATTTGTAAAAATTAAGTTTAATCTTTTAAAATTTTATTCTTCTCAATTAAGCTCAAATTGAGCTCCTAAACTTATTTTTCTCATTAATTAAGCCCTTGATAAAATTAATTTGACATGTTTAAAATACAATTAAATCCTTGCACCTAACTAAATTCTTTAATTGGACCTAAATTAATTCTTAAACATAATTAAACTTTAATTTAGCATATGATTAAATCAAAGTGGCCTATTAAAAATATAATTATGCCCTGAGGTTTAATTTTTATGCAGATTCTTTCGATAATTATTTAATTTGACCTTAAATCTGTATAGTCACTTTAGTTTTAGGTATAATGAGGTATAATTAAGCTCTCAATTCCTTCCAAAATTGCAACTTGATTTTTTTTATATATTCGAAGTTTTTCTCAACCTATTTTTTCCAAAATATTAATATTTTTTCTATTATTATTTATTTTACTTTTAAATAAATAGGGTAATATTTTGGGGAATAACTTAAAAATAGGTTATGACACCAATAACTCAATTTATAACTTTAAACTCCCTCTAGTCAATTTTAAAACTCAAAATTAAACTAAATCTAAAAAATATTTATGGACTGTAATCCATTTTATTCGCATTGATTAAGGTTAAAATCACCTCCATTAAACTCTCTTCTCAAATATGAATCCATTGACACCAATTTTGGTTTTTTTTTGGAGTCATTCCAAAGTTTTTTTCTCTTTCTATTTTTTAACAACTTTCTTACTCATCTCTAGACTCAAAAGGATTGAAATATCAAGAAAATAAAATTTAGAACTGAAACATAAACATCTAAAACTATAGAGGCCAAATATATATATATATATGTATACAACCCCAAAAATCCAAGGACCAAACTATATTTTTATGCCAAAAATTACATATTCCTTGAAGTTCATGATGAATTAAAAGAGGTGCTATAAAAATAAACAAGTTAAAAATAAACAAGTTTGTATAAAATAATTAACGAAATGATTGGTAATATTAACATAAAAGCTATAACATTATTTGAAAACTATGTATAAAAGCTCTCTCTCTCTCTCTCTCTATATATATATATATATATATAAAGAGATAAACTATATTTTTCATTAATTATTATAATCTTGTTTGAAAACTATGGCAAAATTGAATGGTATTTAAAAAAGTTGTGAATCTTAATTATAATTTAAGAAAAAACAATTAAAAAAACTATAGAGAAATATAAAAATAGGCCAACCATTAGGCTTGTAAGGTTGGATACACATTTGTAACCTAATAGAAAATAGGTCAAATATATGCATGGCTAGGCTTGCGTGTTTGGCTTTTGTTCTTTCTTTTTTCATTTTTTTTAAGTGGACCACATGTCTTTCATCCTATAAAAATAATTAAAGTAGATGATGCATCATCAACTTAATTTAGATTTTCAGTATTAAAGGTGGTTAAAAAGTTGAATTCTAAGTTTTTAAACCTTAAAAAACTCGTTTTCAACCATTGTTTCACCTCAAAAAATCAAAAATACAATATATATATATACACACACACATATATATAGTACTGCAAAGTGTATTTTTATCGATATTTTATATCATCATTTTGCACTTAAAGTATCAATAATTCCTTAACTAAATCATGTTTTATAATAATATGTCTAATACCATAAGATACATTTAATTTATAATAAATGTTCATCCTAAATGAAGGTCTATCAAAAAAATAAAAGGATTGATTAATAAGTTGAAGTACTGGAACACTGTTCGATAATTGGATCATAATTGGAGCTCTATAGCTTGGATTTAAGTTTGCTTTATATGGATGAAAAACTAAGAAATAGACTTAAAACTTTGATGGGAAAGCAAGACTTAATTCTATTATTTGGTAGTCCAAATCTTAGCAACAATGTAGAAGTCTGAATCTGTCCTACAGCCAGACACTTTTGAATGTTTAGCCCATATCTCGCGTTTTAGAAGTCTAAATGACCTCAATTTTTTTCCTAAAAAGTTGAGACAATTTTCTAGAACTTTCATGGGTAAGGCTGGTTCAAATTTTGATGTTATTAATGAATTTTTATTCAGATAAGAAGATAAGGATT